AGTATTGACTGTTGGTCCATGCTTTCGAAATGTGCGCCGATTCCGTGGATGTCGCAAAGTGAAGACGCACGATGGCTCTAGAGACAGAAATGAGACATACCCGACGGTCGTGGGATCGAATACAGGCCGGGGTGGTCGCATTTTCGGTGGAGACGAAATTCAGATCAAGTCAAATGAAAGTTTATTTACGTCGTGAAGATGTGGACAGGCTTGGGCGAAAAGCGATATGGTTCGCTCGAGGAAAGCCCAAGCCCTCTTATATACAAAGCGTACAATAAAGACACATAAGTATGTGCAAGTACTGCTTTACAAAATCAAACAAGCGCGTTACATACGTCACAACGAAGTATGACAAGTACCGTCGTAAAATCAGTGCGAATGTTATTAAAATTAATTAGTGCGTTACATGCATGAAAAAAAAGAGAGGTATTGACAGTTGAAAAATGTTGTGAAGTACGCACAATAGGAACAGAATGTCGTTATCGCGTTCAACTCTTAAAGGCGAAGCGCAAGGGATCCCAAATTTTTCGCACAATATTCACGATGAAAAAGGTACATAGTATGTGTAATTATAAATAAGTACTGATATTCGATTGCTATAGAGTAAACATATTTTTCTCCATTGATTGATCCAAAGAAACAGAAAAACAACAAACGAGAATAACATGCAAATGGAGCATTCTTCATCTCGTACAGCAAGTGTTTTCGCGTAGAATAATTACAGGTTTTTGAATGTCCCTTACGCCGCGTTTCTCTAACTTGATTTCACTACTTAGCAGTGTGTTGAGCGAGTGAGGCAAACGCTATACTGTAACATTTGTCGTTCGTGTTCAGTTCTGCAAAAGGAGATGTTCCAGAAAAGGGAATATAATGGAGCATTTTCTGTGTAACATTAGAGAAAATGCCTGAGGCCAGAGTGTCTATATTTAGGTGCTTGTTAAAAGAACCCGAAGTGGTTTCCGGAGACCTCCACAATGGCATTTCAAATAGCGTGGTTTTGGGACGTTAAAACCCCAACAATTGAATGGAAATGAGACATATGATATGAAGTATAGCACGGGTAGTTCTGCTTGAGAATCTCTGTCTCATTGCCGTCGTCAGCTCCGTGGGCGTCAAGGGATCTAGTTTAAGACCTAACCTATAGCGTATAGTTAAGGTACTGCTTGGTTTGTTCATTTCGACTACATATAATATATACTTGGTGATCTAGGCCGGTTCAAAGATAAAATATTCATCTGAGCAAACTTTGTATGAGCATTTTCATTTTTTTTCTTTGCCAAATGCCAGTATAGTAAAGTCGTGCGTGACCCTTGTGTAACCGGCAGTCACCTTTAGCCCTTTGTACTGTGCCCCACGACAGCGCTTTCCTTGGTCTGTACACATACCTGCTTCCATCCGTTTGCGGTTCACCTAGCTAGGTGGTTCCGCTAGATACGTCGACCATGCGAATGGCAAACGTTTGTCAATAGGCCGGCCTGGAATAGCTGACGCGTGCCCAATTGTCGATGAGCGCACAGGGGACGCGCTTGGCTGGCGACGCACTGATCGTCCGATGGATAGGTCGCTGCGCAATCGTTTGCTGGGATCTGGTAGTAGACCACGTATACCGAACAACTGACAAGTTCTTTCACGTCCGCCAGACTCGACCCCGCCACTACCAACCAGTCTGCTTGCATAGGTATCACTGTTTTGCTTACTAAGATGTACTGATATTGGTGCGTGTTCTTTGTAGAGTACTCTCAAATCGCGAAAGTCCTCGAGCTTTTTGGTATTTGGTGGAGCGTATATGCTCTAATTTGGCTTTATTACTAAGTTTTTAAGCGTTTCACGTTTTCTATTATTGTTTGTGAAACGTGAGAAATAGCGAAATAACGACGACGCTGCTCGAGCTTTGGTATAGAAGTGCCATAGCTTCAGCGCAAACGTTTGCCTTGTCGGATAGGCTGTATCGCATTGTGAGATTAGTGGGCAAAGAGCGAACCACGCGGTCACATTGAACGGGCTTTCCCTGTCTGCTCAATCCGGTGTTGACGATGTCGTGCGCCTTTCTGTAATGCGGAGTCGCATGTACCCTCCGCTTGGCGTGTGTCGTTGCTGGGAACCCTTTGCGTTTGCATCGCGATTCCATCGTACGGCTCCATCACCGGCGTGAAAGGCTCTCTCTTCTCTTCTCACCACTTTTTTTTGTTTATGTTGTTTGAAAATCTCAGCTTTTCTGATAAGTTGTCCATTGGTTCGCTGGCATACGAGTTTGCTATTTTCTGAATATGATGTTAACGATTTGACATCAAATCTTTTTTTTTTATTCCGGATACGGTGGTTCGTGTCGGCTGTTCCTTCCCTAATAACTGTTTGGCATTTATCTCTTTCGGCGACGAACAGCGGTGGCGCCGATGAGACGGGCTAATTATGCGCACATTTTCGACCCATAGATACTGCTATAGGCGGCTGGCTCTGAGACCGGCAAAATATTTGCTGTCGTCCTGTAGATAGGCCTTCCGTATACCGCGTCACGCTATAGGCGTATCGGCGCGTTGGGCGAAGGAGGTTGTCGTCGGAGCACGGCGGCAGGTATGCGGGCAGCAGGATCGGTGCCCCGCTGGTAGCGCGATAAAGGGAAGCGGACTGGACGCGCGTATCGGGACAGCTGTTGCTAACGAACCCCTTTTTGTCTCCCTCGTACTCTGTATAGCTTCATCCGGTTCTGTGCTGACAACATTGTGGCCTTCGGTAGCGTACGAAAGCATTGGCCTTCTGACCTACGGTATTTATTTCTCGCGCTGGCCCGGAGGAGAAGGCAAGGGAGGTGTGTCGTGGGCTGCCACGGTCGGGGTTAGGCTGCGCAACATGCGGTATTCGCGCGAGACAGAACCGCTTGTTTCCCGGGATTGGGCAGCAATGTATGGCGCAGGCGCAAAGGCCGTTGACTCGTTTCCATGCTTGTCGATCATCCCCCCCCCCCCCTTGTTTACCTGCCTATACGGCTGAAAACACTGCCCCCCCCCCCTTCACCCATTTTTGTCTTGTCTGCGCTGAAATCGCCCCAGTTCGAGCGTCGAAGGCGCACCTTGGCACCGATGTCCAGCTTTCGTATTGCGACTAGTTCAGAAGAGACGACGTCGAGACGGAAATTGTGCGCGCGCACGCACCGCGTGTTTTACACGCAGCCATGTAGAGCCAACCAGCAATGCAGCTTGTCGCTAATGTAGGTTTTAATTGAAGCGTATTGATTGCGATACAAAGGGAAAGGAAAGCGAACAAAAGAGAAGCTCATTCCTTGTGTGATACTAACTTGGAACATCCTTATTGAGCATGCTGTGCTTTAGTAAGTGTGCAATGTGGGCGACCGTTGCACCATTAATTTCCTGTGGAGAGTGTATGTATGTGTAGGTGTCACCTTGCCAGTAATAGCGATATATAGTGTCACTCGCATAACACTGGCGGCGTATGTTAAACGTTCTTTTTGTCTAATGGCGTCACGTAGAACGCGAAAGATGACGGTTTGGGTGAGTTGCTTCTGCATCGTGTTTTATTCATTCATTTCATTTTATTCATGTCAAAGTTGTTACAATACGCCTTGGGGGACACGACTAAGGGCTGAGAAAAAAAAAAAAAAACACCGGACTTGGTCGTGCCACCCTGGCAGCAAAAACATGAACACGCCGACAAGCATTTGTCGTACAGAATGCGCTGGTACCTAATCATTCAGAATGGTTACAGGATTAAATAAAATTATGATATAAGTACACGAGGATATAAACACAGCTGTTTGAATATAACGGATGTGTAATTATAATGAACGTCAATCAAAAAGAAAGATAATAAAAATGGCTTCTCGCTGCGATTGCGAGGGAACTGCACACAAATATAATCAGCATTCACTAGAATTCTGGGAAGACTAACAATAAGTGCTGAAAAAGTCAATTTATACGGTTTGACGGTTATAAGCGAACAACGACGTACGAGGACGCCAACCTTGAGATGACAGCTGACAATTAAACATTCGCCACCATCTAAGTGCATAATCATAGTCGAAATACGTGCTACGCAATGACCAGCACTGGTTGGGGAGCCCGTTTTTAGGTTCGTGTTACACCAGTGGTACGTTGTAATTCTGTCCACTTTCCTTTGTCTTTATCAAATCTTTACCTCAGTTATATGAAAGGCTACAGATAGCGCCATTTACGTTATCCGTGCATTCTTTACAGCAGTTGGCTGCATACGGTTGGGTATTACAGAACGAGGATTCGCTTCGTGTAATCGTTATTTTACCGGCTGCTACAGATAACACATGCTCGGACCTTTCTTGCACTATATTTAATACCGTTGCAGCGCGCTTAATGTATACTGCCCGTGAAAGAAGGAAATGTCTGGCCTGTTGTTTAGCAACACCGTTGCCGAGTCAGTGTAGTGGACGTGATGGCCGAAACCTACACCTGTATATAGGCCGGCGTGAAAAGGGGAGGGCTCCTGATTTACTTTATTGCTTTAACAAATATACGCACTATAGGCTCTCACTTTCTGCTCGGATTTCAGGACGCGGTTATCGCGGCCTGAAATTGGGCCCCTGCTTACCGTAACCGGGTTCAATTTAGACATTCTACTGTTAAGCATATTTTGGGTCGTACAGCCGTGCGTTCATCCCTGTGAGGTTTCTGCACCGCCAATGTCGACTTCACCTTCTACCGTAGTCTTCTTCTGCAGCGAACTGCAAATTTGTTTCTTCGTGTATGTTTCGCAGTGTGATATTCTTAATTGCTGATTTGCAATGCGAGGCTATATAGTGGAAGCTCGGAAACTGTGCTACGCTTCCGCACTTGCACTGGAAGCCACCCGTAAACTTAATGTAGTAATGTGACAGTTACCTCGAAGAAGGGCGATTTAATTATGTAAGAAATAGAACCATATAAGCTTATGGTTCATTATTTTTTTACCGAACTTTGAGCTCCGCTCAGAAAGCACTGTGCCTGAGTCGTGGTTTTTTTTTTTTTACTTCGCAGGGAAACGCAGGCGTGAAAAAAGAGAGCATCCAGGACGTTGCAGTGAGCCCCGGAACGGTCAAAGAAAAGACCCAGATAATCAATCGCATGGCCGAAAACTGCGGCGTCCCTGGAAAACCGGCCCTACCATCCGGTGCCGTGGGGAACACGGCCTGCAAACGACGGGATGGGCCCGGAGCACGCGCTGTGAGTATACCGGGAAGCTTCGTTGGTTCGGCAACGTCATTGGCAACCGGGTGGGCACACCGTCATACGTATCCCGTCTTTTGCAGTCCTTGTGCGCTGTTCTTTTTACGCGGACATCGTTGTCAGTTCTGTAGGTATACCGGCGTTTCGTTAAGTGCTGGCGCGAAGCCGGAATTAAATTTCAGAGGTTGAGAGAAAGAGAGGTTCAGAGGTTGAGAGAGGTTCAGGAAACGAAAAGAAGCAACTTCTGCAACCCTAATTGGGAGCACGGCTCAGCGCCTGTAGGGGGGGGGGGGTTGCATTAAAGATATGAAGAAGAGAAGAAGAAGAAGAAAAATGGCGTCCATGACCAAGGACGTGGCGGGCGGCTTGTGTAGCGAGAGCAAATTTTGAAGTGTGGTGGTTTGGGCTAACTGGCATGACATGACGATAGTTATAGCGCGAGAACAGAACGACGACAAAGCAAGCCAACCGTAAACTTGATGTAGTAATGTGACAATGACCTCGAAGAAGGGCGATATAATTACGTAAGAAAGAGAGCCATATATGCTTATGGTTTATTAATTTTTTTACAGGACATTTAGCTCCGTTTAGAAAGCACAGTGTCCGAGTCGTCTGCTTCGCGTCCCTTTGTCGTCTTTCTGTTCTCGCGCTATAACTATCGTCTTAAGAGCACAGTTGGTGTTTCGTTTAAGCGGATGAGCAGCCTCGCCACGAGGACTCTCATCGATATTCAATTGGTTTTATTCCTGCGTAGTGTGTTGCACTGGTGGCAGAGGTTAAACGAGAACTGCGTGCTAATCTCTCGCGTGATTCGTGTGCACATAAATTTTTTTTATTAGCTTTTGACGTCGTGTAGCGGTATCTCTAGCAGCGTATATCGCCCGTACTTTCTATTGTTCGTTCATAATACCATCGTGGTAAATGTAACTGGCGTGAATAGACTCAAGATAAGCCCGCAGGGGTGCAAAATGTTTTTTTAGTGTGACATCGGTCCATCCCCTGTTGGCAGTACGATCTCGGTTTTCGGGCTCGAACGTCAAACATTTCTAGTTAAGTTTTACTTTTGCTGAGTTTTGTGAACACTGCCACAGAGATTCCTGCTGTTGGCGTTCATGACTTGGGCTTTACGAGAACTAATCATTCAGCTTAGACGCGCAGCCTCTTGACACATGCTTTATTCAGCTTTAGAGTATACTTGGGACCCTTACGTTAAAGATTGTAAGTGAAAAAAAAAAAAAAAACGTAATTAAGTTGAGTTGGATAAGATCGTGCGAGTGGTGGAGGTATGAAGTGTACCAATGTATTCTCGCAAACTGAATTGTGTCAATTGGTATTGTCTCTTGAATAGGCGAAGATGGTGTAGGGAAAAAACAAAGGACAGGCTTTGTTTGCGCTGCGGGCATGGGGAAAAAAAGGGGGGGGGGGTGCACGCCCAGCGTCTGCAAGCCAACACCATCCGAAGACGCTTGCTGCTCGCGTTCATGCTCGTTTCTCGTGATGCTTCTGTTTTATATCCTTAATCGGTCCACAAGCCAACCTCCTCGGACGCCACTTCCTCTCACCCTCTCACCCTCCTCGTTCTCCATACGCGGGGCTCACTCCTCAGCATTCTCCTGTTTCCTTTTTTTTATGCCTGGGCTTCAAAATTTTCACGCGATGCTCCCTTCTACCTTTTTTTTTTGTTTTCCTCCATGGCTACGAGACCCGCACCAATACTGATATTCTGTGCATGCATGTGCAATGCATGCATATTTTGCCACTGAGATTTCAGCTGTATGTGTTGCTTCGTGAGATTTATGATTTGCCATGGTGTTCCTCCTTGCAGGCGCCTGATGATGACACCACGTCAGTAAACACGGTGAGTGCCAGGCACATAGTTATATCTAGTATGTTGATTATTTACTGGTTTTCACTGAAAAACATCTGTTAAATAGTGACCGCTGTTTGAATTTGTCGCTCAATAGCAAACAGGCAGTTGTACGAAATGCTTTTTTTTCTGTTTGCTGTACTAACTGGTGTGTGTGTGTGTGTGTGTGTGTGTGTGTGTGTGTGTGTGTGTGTGTGTGTGCGCACACACACACATTTCACGATTGTTTTCTTTTGTTTTTGCTATCAGTATATTTTTATTTTCCTTTCCGAGGCCTACTGCATCGTAAAATGTGTCGTTTGTATAGTGTAATTGCAGTAATGCAGCCTTTAAGGGGAACTGCTACTCGTAAAAAAAGTTTTAAAGGGCCCTGCAACACTTCTTGAGCATGGTCAGAAAACGCTGTCGATCGGTAGTTGAGACCTTCGACAACACGCGAGTCAAATATAATACCGCAGCGCGCGGCCTATAATTCACAATAAATGATCAAAGTGAGATAAAAAATAGCTTTCTCTTCTCTCGACAAATGACGGAAGACGCTCAAAAATCACTCGTAGAAAGCCTATTTATAAGCCATTGGCTTATTTAAACATGCGCTCGGTCGTTACAGAGGTCGCCGCAGGAAGCCGCGACTCGTCCGCGCGTGCGCGATCACACTAAAAAAGCCGTGCATTCTAAGAAAAAAAAAAGAGGAAAAAAAAGTGGTCAACGTCACGGGCTCGAGTGACGTATTTTTTTTTTTTTGGCTACAGTATGATGGCTGACATCTAAAAATTTATTGGCAATCATTCAGAGCTGTCTAGAACGTTCCCGCGGCCCTGAGGAACAAATATCACGGGGTTCCTTAAAAGCCTTCACTTACGCCAACTCAAAGGGAAATTTAAGCCATGTTTTTTTTTTTTTTCTGCGCAGTCGACCATGCCCCTGTTAGCCTTCCAAAAGCTTTCTGCATCTCCCCTGGTCTGGCATTGCCTCTGTGCTGCTGCTGCTGCCATAGCCCGTATAATCTATTCAGGGACTATGCTACTACATAATGTGATGACGGCATCATGTGATGTTGCAGCACGGTGACGCCACAACTGTGGCTGGCCTGTGACGTCATCACGTGATGCTGACTTTTCTTTTTTTGCGTCCATCGTACCGACGCCGCGGGTCATGGATGGTCGCATTTCGCGTTTGATGAGACAGCTAAGGCTTTCGCTGTAATAAATTAGAACCTACGTCCGATTCGGACAGCTCACTCGACTGCGTACGCTCGCGGTCACAACGTTCGCTGCTTGCGCGATAAAGAGCGCCGGCAGCACGAAATGGAGCCTGCCTCCGGCTTCACCGCATCCCGGAAAACTGAGATGAGGCAAATTCCGACACAGTACACATAGCTATGTGCAAACTGAACTCGTCCTTTCATTTGCGCACACCGCAGATTGTCATGTTTCTGCGGCGCCAGTCGCGCGGACAGCCGCGCCGTGGACCGAGCATAAAAAGACGCGTGCGATGACCTCCGAAGCTCCAGCCACCATGGCGTCACCTGTGGCCACCCTGCCTCAGGCATATACCAGTCAAAGAGTCAGCTCTCAGGCGGTAGATTAAGTAATAAGCCTCCCCGATAACTATACCAGGTCCGTTTCCTCTTCAATCGCATCTCTTCCCCAGCCATCCACAGTGGTCTTCCAAGGCAAAAAATACTATAAACATCAAGAAGCTCACCAGCAGTAGCGTGTGAAACTGTGTGGTGACCGGTAAGTAGGGTCAGTTACTTAATTCATCGGGAGTAACGATCGCGTACTTTCGGCATTTCGGCGTAGGCCTTCCGTTGTTGTGACCTTGACGATGAGGCAGGGGCCGCTATACTGCGCGCAGCTTGCCACCTCTTTCGCCATCCAACGCTTCCCGAGGTCATGGGCGTCGGCAGGGGTGGGGGGGGGGGGGGGGTGCGAAAGGGGCACTTGCCGCCCTCGAGCCTCACTAGCACATGCCCGCACCCAAGCTACACCGGCGCTCTCCTTCTCCCCCAACCGCTATTGCAACAATTCGCACCCTCAAGAGGAAATCCTAGCGACCATGGCCTTGTCTTCTATAATGTCTCCCTGTAACGGGAGTCTGCGCTTGGTGGATTTGGCTCGGCTTGCTTGGCCTCTGTGAACATTTAAATCCCTGGGACGCCAAAGGCAAATAGTAAGTCGATGAATTCTGGCTGCTGAAATAGTGGTCCAGAAACATGGTAGTGCTACTTTTGTACCAAGTAAGTACTTATAATCATATAAAATCGCGTTTTAGTGGTCTGCATTGCGTTAGCGCACTTCAAATCTCCCGCCTGAAAGTGGCCATCTTACGTCATTGTTGCCGTGCACAATGTTTCCCGGCTTTACAGCGCAGCCGCCAACACTAGTAGCAGCAGAGCGAAAGCCGCGGGAGCCACAGCAGCAACAACGGCCATTGAACAATTTTTAGCCTTGGCCTCCGAGATGGCAGACGTGCTTAGTTCAACAGGGCCTCGCTAGTAACGTCCGCGGCGCTTCTTTTTTACAGTGAATTAAACAGAAACGAACGAACTCTTGATGCACGGAAGGTTCTTAATTTAGTGCAGTTCGATTACTAGTGATTAATTGTAGCCGGGTCATCAGGATCACTTTGCGAATGTCCTACTCGTGGAGTATGTGTGCTCGTGCATTTTACCTTAATTTCTCGGTAAGTAGGGCACTGCTGTTGATAATATTATCGTTTTAGACGTTGTCGTACATTGAGCTTTCACTTTGACAAAAATTGTTATTTAACTTTAGTGTCCCTTGAAGGACCCCCGAAACAACCCCTGCAAATACTGAAAACGGGTAGAACGAGCGCGTATCCAGGCGTTTCCCGTCTTTTGGGCTGTGTTCGGAATGCCAGCAGTCTGTTCCCGTGAAGTCATCCGAAAAAAAAAAAGACTCTCGATTGGTCTATAAACGAGGGATATCAGCTATAAACGAGGTATATCAGTTTTCATGTATCTCCTACCCTGCTTTGCCATGCAGTCGCGCTCACGTTCTGCCTTGCCTCGCACGAGGCTGCCGTGCGCGCGATTTCACTTCATTTTGTGCGTCTCCGACTGCGCAAGCGGAGATTAAAAAAGCGTTAGATCCTGATAGGCTCAACGCTTTGTGCGGGCCTTGTCCAGTCCACGGGTTTTTGTGAAGAAATTGGTGGGGAGGAAGCGTCCATGCGAAGGGCAGTGAAGGCGAGAAAGAAATTGCTCTCTATAGCCTTGGATCTCGGAGTGCTTTAGGGGCCATGGACACTATAGCGCGGGCGCTTCGCCAATCACTGTGCACGTGTTCGCCAGCTGCGCTTGTGCATGTAGCGTCCTTTGTTGCAGTTACGATAGGACGGTGCACTACGTCATGCAACTAGCCTTCACAATATGCTCTCGTTCACTCGCGTCGTTGCAGCAAGCATTGTTATTTACTGGTCTCAGAAGATTCAGATCTTACAAGTACATGCTTTCCTGGCAGTTTTTTTTTTGTGTTGCAGTTTACGACTCTATGCTGTGATGGGTTAACAGAATTCAACCAAATGTTCAAAGAATACAAGCAAGCTGTCATTCCGCTCATACTTCTATAGTCTACATTCGTTTAATGACTGGTTCTGATGTATGCCTTCCCCGAAGTTCTTGCGGAGTGTTTGAGAACGTTTGTGCGTTTAAATCGTAACTGCGCCTCAGTCATCGAATCATGTTCAGCACAGCTGAACGTCAGCTAGCTGCGAGAATCTTCGTCAGCGCTCGATAACGGGGCACGCGGTGCATCCTGTCAGCGTGCGCTAAGCCATCCTGCTGATATGCGGTGTTCGAAGTGATTAGGCGCCCGAGCAGAGATTGAACGGTTCTGTTATTTGTGCCGCGAGAGGCTACGAGCGCGCCGCCATGCGGCACCGCTTCGATTACTAAAATTAAGCCACTGAAGCATTTTGTTGATGTTTAACTTTACTGACGCCGCTTTTGAAAAGCATGGCACAACTGCTTTGCTTGACCTAATGTAAGCGCCTGCGGGCAGGCGATGAAGACGAAACGTGGAGCTGCGATACGGGGCATATATATATATATATATATATATATATATATATATATATATATATATATATATATATATATATAATATATATATATATATATATATATATATATAGTCTAGTAGATCCTCCGTGAGCGGTCACAACGTGGTTTATTTCGACGTTTCGGCCTAGAGTCTGGCCTTCATCAGGAATAAAGATACAGTTTGTCGGTGCTCAGCTTTATACAATCTCGAATCAGAGGGCAAGGTAAGAGGGAAAAAAAGGAAAGAAAAAAAAGAAAAGGAAAGAAAAAAAAGAAAAAAGAGAAAATTAATATACGGTGAACGCCCCTCGGGTGCCCCCCTTCCACTTTTCCCTCCACTCCCCCCCCCCCATCTCTCTCCCCCCTCTCCCCTTCACCTTTCTGATGTCAGCGGTCTGTGTATGTTTCCGTTCACTAGCGCATTCCTCCCGATCAGACGGCGCCTCCTGGCACTGGCGGTTCGGTGTGGGGCAAAAAAGAGCTTTTCAGGAAGTCCTAAGCCTTTAACTACTCGGGGTCCCGTAAACAATTCGTCGTAGAAGGACGGGGGCCGCGTATTGTGGCAGAGGCTGGTCAGCGGGCATTTAGGAAGTTCTAAGCCTTTAACTACTCCGCGCCCTGTCAACATTTCGTCGTAAAAATAGGGGTGCCCCGTATTGCGGTAGGCTGTGCAAGCGCGTGCAATGCGAATTCCTGGCCCGCTTCTAAATTACGCGTGTCGTGGGGGCCTCCCGGCTCTGCACATGGTTGCTGTTGGGCATGTCGTGCATGGCACAATTGATTGGGTAGTAAAATAAAACAGAAAACAGACGACAGCTGCACTTAGGAAGAGTAGTTACACTTGGAATTGTTTTAGGTTGTCCAGTGCCCTTCGCAGCTGCAGTGCCGTGAACTCAGTTACTATTTTCATTGTTGCCGTTATTGTTTTCTAATGCTTTAATTGCTGCAAGTGTACCAGGATTCTCATTTATTCCTCTATCGAGGGTGTTAAATCGGTGGATAAGGTATGACTCTCGTTGTTCACGTTCTCGATTTGATTTAAATCCCGTCTCTAAGAGCGTTACTGATAGTTTGTCGAATGCATGGTGCCGAATGCATGGTGTCCAGTGCCCTTCGCAGCTGCAGGGCCGTGAACTCAGTTACTATTTTCATTGTTGCCGTTATTGTTTTCTAATGCTTTAATTGCTGCAAGTGTACCAGGATTCTCATTTATTCCTCTATCGAGGGTGTTAAATCGGTGGATAAGGTATGACTCTCGTTGTTCACGTTCTCGATTTGATTTAAATCCCGTCTCTAAGAGCGTTACTGATAGTTTGTCGAATGCATATATATATATATATATATATATATATATATATATATATATATATATATATATATATATATATATATATATCCTCCGTGAGCGGTCACAACGTGGTTTATTTCGCCGTTGTGACCTCTCACGGAGGATCTACTTGACTATATGCAACGCTACGGCCACTCAACCGCCATGCCTGCCTATATATATATATATATATATATATATATTATATATATATATATATATATATATATATATATATATATATAATGTTACACGCAAGAAGTACACGAAAAGGTTGAAAAACAGGCGAGCCTGGATGGTTCGTGTTTACTTCCACAAGGGGTCTCGAGACAGCACACCCAACGTCGTCTTCCTTCTTCACCTTTTTTCTGAATGTTCATTCGCGCTGTATGCGCCGTGCATTGCAACCGCTCGTGACATTTCCCCGTTGGCAGACGAAGCCCGCCGGGCGAGTCACTCAGTGGTTCGTGCATTGCATAGCTTCATGCGAGCGACGTGCGCCACTTCTGTTTTAGCCGAGCGCCGTCCAGTGCTTGTGAGCCGTGCTATGCGGTAGTTGACCTCACTGAGGCGTTCGAGGATAACGTAGGGCCCGACATAGTGAGCGAGAAATTTCTGGTACAGGCCACGTTTCCGTAAAGGCGTCCAGAGCCACACCTGATCTCCAGGATTGAAGTGAACATGTCGGTGACGGTCGTCATAGCGGATCTTTGACCGGTCTTGCGAGGTGACGGTGCGTAGCCGAGCGAGGCGTCGCGCTTCTTCTGCTCTACAGAGAATCTCGTTGATCGGCTCACTGTGATGAGCAGAGTAGGGAAGCATAGTGTCAAGATTATAGCGTGGTGGACGAGCATAAAGGAGAAAGAAAGGTGAGTAACCAGTGGTCTCATGTCTTGCGGTGTTGAAAGCATAGGTGATGAAAGGCAAAATTGTGTCCCAGTTTTTGTGCGCGGAGTCGATGTACATGGACAGCATGTTGGCAAGCGTTCGGTTCGTGCGTTCCACTAGACCATTAGTCTGTGGATGGTATGGAGTGGAATGGCGGAAGCTTGATGAGCACAGACGAAGGGTCTCTTCGACAACATCCGCGGTAAATTGCCGCCCACGGTCGCTGATTACGATGCGAGGAGGTCCGTGTCTGAGGATAACTTGAAACAGCAAGAAGATGGAAACGTCTTTTGCTGTGGCCGACGGCAGTGCTGCCGTCTCACAATAACGGGTTAAGTGGTCTACGCAAACGATGACCCAACGATTGCCGTCTGTGGATCGCGGAAAAGGGCCCAGAAGATCTATACCAACTTGCTCAAAGGGGGTGCTAGGAGGCGAAACAGGCTGAAGGCGACCAGACGGCGCGTCAGTTGGTCGCTTGTAACGCTGACATTGGGTGCAGCTGGCGACGTACCGTTCGGTATCATTGCGCATCCGGGGCCAATAAAAGCGTTCCTGAGCACGGTAGAGTGTTCTTGTGCATCCAAGATGTCCGGAAGTTGGTTCGTCGTGCATGGCAGATAATACGTGACTGCGAAGGCTCTTGGGGACAACCAAAAGGTAGCGCGCACCGGTAGCCGAGAAGTTCGTCTTATATAGGGCGCCGTCACGTAAGCGAAAACGATTGTCTGCAGCGGACTCCCGCGCGGCCGCGAATAGCGGCTGTAAGCTGTCGTCTTTCCTCTGCTCTGATATGAAGGTATCCATATCCGGAAATCCCGTGGACACAAAAGCGATGTATTCATCAAAGTTGTCCGCGTCACATTCAGTCGTTGGGAGTGGCAGGCGAGAGAGACAATCAGCATCAGCGTGTCGCCGGCCGCTCTTGTAGGAAACAACGAAATCATACTCCTGCAGACGGAGCGCCCAGCGTGCTAGTCGACCAGAGGGATCCCGAAGATTCACAAGCCAGCATAGAGAGTGATGATCCGTGACGACAGTAAAGGGGCGCCCGTAGAGATACGATCGAAACCGTTGCACAGCGAAGACGACCGCCAGACACTCTTGTTCGGTGACAGTGTAGTTGCGCTCGGGGCGACTCAATGAGCGGCTAGCGTACGATATCACATGCTCGCTGTCGCCGACACGCTGAACTAGTACGGCGCCTATGCCAACACCACTAGCATCGGTATGAACTTCTGTCGGTGATGACGGATTGAAGTGGCGAAGAATAGGCTGGGACGTCAACAGTAGCTTTAGCTGCCGAAACGATGAGTCGCATTCCGAGCTCCACTCGAAAGGAACACCTTTTTGGAGAAGGCATGTGAGCGGATGAGCTATGTCAGCAAATTTGGGAATGAAACGGCGAAAGTAGGAGCATAATCCTAAAAAACTTCGTAGCTGCTTCACAGAGCGAGGTGCCTCGAATGCCTCCACAGCTGTTGTCTTTTGTGGATCTGGTCGTATACCTTCTTTGTCGATCAGGTGTCCCAGCACAAGTGTCTGTCGTTCACCAAAATGGCACTTTTTAGAATTAAGCACAAGGCCGGCCTTCCTCAAGCAGTTCAGTACCAAGTCCAGGCGCTCGTTATGCTCACGAAATGTTCGGCCGAAGATCACAACGTCGTCTAGGTAGCACATACAAACTTCCCACTTCAAACCGCGAAGTATAGTGTCCATGAACCTTTCAAACGTTGCGGGGGCGTTACAAAGCCCGAAAGGCATCACGTTGAATTCAAATAGTCCATCGGGCGTTACAAAAGCGGTCTTCTCTCTGTCATCCGGGTGCATAGGGATTTGCCAGTAACCTGATCGTAAATCCACAGAAGAGAAGTAAGAAGCCGCAAAGAGGCAATCGATGGCGTCGTCAATTCGTGGGAGTAAATGTCACGAGCGGTTGCAATGCACGGCGCATACAGCGGTGGTCTTGCCGAGGCATTGCTGAGGGGGTCATTTTGCTCCAGAGACATGTCGGGGCGCGATGGCGAAAGTCCGGCAAGGCGACGGCTTCTACGAAGTTCTGGTGCTGACGGCTCCGTCGTAGGTCGTGGGAGGTACCCCGCACCTCCACCAAATGTTACACGCAAGAAGTACACGAAAAGGTTGAAAAACAGGCGAGCCTGGATGGTTCGTGTTTACTTCCACAAGGGGTCTCGAGACAGCACACCCAACGTCGTCTTCCTTCTTCACCTTTTTTCTGAATGTTCATTCGCGCTGTATGCGCCGTGCATTGCAACCGCTCGTGACAATATATATATATATATATATAATGAGAAAGAAAACTGGGTGAAAAAATAACTTGCCGTGAGCAGCAATCGAACCTACGACCTTAGGTATACATTTCTCTCCCTTATTCATTAACGAGGGTCTCGTACTGGCAGACTTGTTGCCGTTAGGCTGTATACGAGGGACTATTGGTCAGCTGCCAGATCGTAATAAGTTCACACCAGACAGGCTCATAAAAAAAGAGTGTACCACACTCGCCGCCATGACTACAGGTGGCGCTGACTTACACTCTCACGTTTAAATTCACATATAAACCCAATAAAGTGGTTGGGGGAATAGCTGCCGTGATAGCTCAGTACAATAAAGAAAAAAAAATCCGTGATAGCTCAGTGGTAGAGCATCGAACCCGGTATTCGGAGGTCGCAGGTTCGATTCCGGCTCACGGCAAGTTATTTTTTCACCCACTTTCTTTTTCATCTTCGTTGGTCGTCTATATGTGTGTGCGCACATTATAGTCTTGCCGTCGAATACTGCGCGCAAAGCGTTCACATCAAAACAGGCAAGTACCTTGAAAGCCTGCTTCGACGTCACGTGCAACAATTCGTGCGCTTTTCGTTCGTTTCAGCCGAAATGAAACGGTATGGAAATGACGGTGGGAAGCGTTAGGTATGCACTTCAGTGTCTTCGTGCCGCATCTATAGCTGTCTAGTCAGCGAGCGCGCGGCAAAATCCGTTTTATTCCGCGATGCCTACCATATCGTTCGGCTTGAAACGGAAGCGTGGCAATGTCTTTCAGTTGGACCCTCGTCGACGAGAGTGGCTGCTCAGGGCGTCGCAGACAGACTACCACTCGCTTGTGCGACTTCTTCGTGAGGACCCCGACCTCTACCGTTTCGAGGTAAGCGGTGACGCCCCTTCTTTGCCTTGCCGGGTTCTGTCCTTGGTTACTAATGGCACGTTGATCCCCAAAGCTCGCATCTGCCGAGTGCGTGCGTGCACCTTAACGTTGTGTCTTGTGTTCGAGTATGTCACACTGGCCGAGTATGAGCAAGTTAAGAATGATCATGTGGTGGGTTTGTGAAATTTCGCTCCAGCAGCGGCCGTCTGTGGGAGTTTGCTTTGAGCATTTCATTAGCGGACAAGTTTTGACGATAGAGTTCCCCTGCCGCGGCTGCTGTCACGTGGTCAGCCTTTTGAATTATTTTCGCTGCATAATATGATTGTAGACCATCCATTTACAATTTCTCTGCATACCGCGTCGAAGAGCCACTCCTTTAAGATGGCGCTCGACGCGAGTGCGCAGACCGCATGTATTTCACCCGTCAAGGACGCCAGTATAGCTGACGACGTACCCACCTATGCGACTGCAGTTTTGAGTTTAACGAAATACACTGGTCAAGAGCTACTGTGTTGGCAACCATGCGTTTTCGTCTAGCACATTCACTGTCCGTAGGCGCGGCTTGTTTATAAAGCGTGCGAGTCATCGCTCAAGAAAAAATTATCGGCGTTTAGATTTAGATTGAGAGCGCTCACGCCTGTAAGTGGTCTTGCAGAGATTGAAGGTAACTGTATCGCGTAGTCTAGAGTGCGCGTTCACCATCGATCGGCCGGATGCCTAATGATTCTAAATGTACAGTACTGTACTGTACAGTAAATGTAATGATTCTAAATGTACAGATAGCGCAGCTCGTGGAACCAAGGTGCTGCATTGTGGTATAGCGGGAAGGGGAGACCATCTAGTAGGATTGCTTGTTCCGGCCGCCAATGGGTCGACCTGTAGTTAACCATAAAAATAAACATCTAGCTGCACAAAAGCATAGCGAGTTTATTTCTTGCTTTCTGTCACGACAAAAAAAAAAAGCAGTCACACGGCTTTCTTCGTACGACATGGAAACAATATGATTAATGTCTTTCCGTCAGCCTGTGGGCCGCCGTCCAGGAAGAATGGCAGAAGCTGGCGCGTTCTTTCTAGCCTCCACGAAAATTTGCCACGCAGTATGGCGGCAGTATTGGCTGGTCGGGACTGGACAACAAAATTAAGAGATTGTTTTAACGTCACATGAACACAGGCCTGTGACTGCTCACACACTCTCCCTCTCTTTGCGACCGAAAGCGCGTAATAAACTCGCTATCCTTCTGTGCTGATGTTTATCTATATCATGACTGCGAACGCGTGTCTCAGCCAAACAGTGTTTCTTACAGAGCATGCGTGCCGCATCTCCGAGAGGTGCAGAACGAGAGCGTCTAATGATTGATTGATTGATTTGTGGGGTTTAACGTCCCAAAACCACTCTATGATTATGAGAGACGCCGTAGTGGAGGGCTCCGGAAATTTCGACCACCTGGGGTTCTTTAACGTGCACCCCAATCTGAGTACACGGGCCTACAACATTTCCGCCTCCATCGGAAATGCAGCCGCCGCAGCCGGGAATCGAACCCGCGACCTGCGGGTCAGCAGCCGAGTACCTTAGCCACTAGACCACCGCGGCGGGGCACGAGAGCGTCTACTCGCGCCGCTTTATAAGTAGTGTGCACTGGCGAGCCGTTTCGGTCGGCATGCGCACGAACTATAGCAGCGCCAGGATGGCAGTGTGCACATGGTTAACTACCAGCCGACCCGTTGGCGACCGGAATCGGCAGTGCTGCTCCGTATATGCTCTCCCCCTCACTGTATAGCATCTTGGTTCCGCGAGCTGCGTTATCTGTGCCGGCGGCCACGCGTTCTGAGTGTGTCATTTCAATCTGTGAGCACTGTATACGTGAATGAGGCGCTGATGATCGCGAATGCACCGCGGTGACGCTTGTGTTTAGCGTCACTGCGACTGGGCATGTGTCCCCGTTGTCGTCCCTCCAGCATTGCGGCGAATTTCGTGCACCTCTCACCATTTGGGGTGCCAACCTGCAGTCCTCTCGTTAGCTTGAAAAGCAGTGTGGAACAAAAACGCTCTCTTGCTTCGAGCCGTTATGAATGCCGGAAATGCTCGCGTTTATGCCGCCGATCGAATGTCTCGAAGCCATGTATGGGCGATGTATAAATAGCTGAGTGCCGACTGCGCACGTGTTGTGCGTCGGCTGTACTATACCTGCTGCCCCTTCTATTGAGCTGCGCTGCAGTTGACCCCTTGTTGTAGGAACTGCGAGGCTCCCAGCAGGCCGTGGTGTCGCCGATTCCTGCGCGCGCGGTTGAGCACTGAAAATACGCGTGGCCGAGAGCACCTCTTGAGAGGGTTCGGGGGCGTGCGCGCATACCACCTCTGCGTGCGGAGAGGGGCGACATCGGGATGGCCCCCCCGCGGTTAAAACAAACAGCGGGCCGGCGGGGGTTCCGCGCCCCGCTGCGGTATCCGGGACGGCCGGTGATTGCGAGTTCGTGGGACGCCTCGCGGCATGGGAATCCTTCTGGCGCGCATAATTATCGAGCCGTTCGGTAATCAGTTTGCCTGCTCGCTGTCAACCGCGTCAGTGCTGCACTGGCGCAGCGGCGGCGACCGGTTTCGGCCGGCCCGGTAAGGTGCCGCGCTCGCCGATGATTTGTACGCCGTGTTGAACGTTGTTTGAGCTGCTGTCCGGCATTTGTGGGCCTGCTACTGTTGTGGCACCACTGCCACAAGCGCCGCGCTTTTCAACCTTGTGCGACTCGCATGTGGACACTTGACCGCTGTGGGTGCGTTACGTAATGTGCCCCTTCATTTCCGCGATCATACCTGGCTGGCTGGGGCTCGGGGATCGGGGCGGCATTCCCGCTGTCGGTCGATCGCGTGCGCATAACTGTGACGTGGAGTACGTTTATCTGAACGTGTGGTCTGCGATCGTTATGTCGATGCGTGGTAGGAGCAAAGGATGCACCGCTGGTGACATAGGCACTCGTAATATTTTATCAACTGTTCCGTTTGTAACTGGCCAACGCGTAGGCGTATGTTGTATGTCGCCACGCCGCGATCCTGTCTTCGCGGCTTAGAATATTAGGTTGCTTGCTCCGTAGTCTAAGTTTAGTCTTGCGCTGTTCCCAATCAGGACGAGGATACTGAACTCTATGTTTGCCTTTTCATTTTGGTGATCATTAAACAGCTGACCAAGAGAGAGAGAGCGAAGAAAAATACCGAAAGGTCTAATCGTCTGCTGTGGGACAAGCTTAGTTGGTTGGCTCATTCTTCCCAAGTGTCATAGTAATTTATCACTACGTTGTCGCAGAATTTGCCACAATCATCTTAATGGCCTCAAAGGAAGTGTGGCGAATTCTAGAATAGTGAGGGCAAGATGGTGGGATAGTGTAAGCATTATATTGAAATCCTATTCTTTTCAAGTGGTCAGTACTACCGATTGTTTGCCATTGCTCGGTGTTCGAAGGCGTCTTGGGCAGAGTGTATACTATATAGCTATGGTATTGTTTAGTGGAACGATCTGTGTCTGTTTAAAATTGGTGATTAACCCGTTATTCCATACACCGCGGGTTTTTATTTTTTGTTCTTTTTTCCGTAGTAGCTGACAATACTTGCGCGATAATTAATCAGTTTACTCACACTAGAACATCGGTGAAATTCTTTGAAATTGAAGCACTTTGTTGGCCAAGTCGCGTTTGCTTAGCTGTTCTAAAGAACTGCAGCACATTATGCATTAGAATTTTCGCGTAAGGCACTTAATGTATTGGCATTACAATGTAGTTGGTTCCGAAATGATAGATAGGAGGGCTTTTGTGAAACTTTTTGCGGAACGTCACTGTGTGTTGTGGCTCATTATAATGATGAATATGCAGTGCACGGAGGTTTGGCAGCGTGACTATGTCTCTACTTAAATTCTTTGATTGCAACGTGTGCCACACGAATCAGTCTTACTTGGTCAGTTGAACGTAGGAATTTATTGTAGGCTGTATGTAATTACCGCCTTTTTCAAAAATTCTGCTCTATAAAAGACAGATCGTAGCACAGGCGATTATCTAGGAATGCTGTGGAGAAAACAAAGGGGGGGGGGGGGGGGGTTCTACATGCAATACGTTTGGTGCTAGTTCGTATGCAAATTTTTCTTTCGAAGAACGTGTATGCTCTTAGGCGGACTCTTGTGGCCTGCATTTTAGTGCTGGAGATTCGAAGACCTCGCGTATCTACGTCGAGGTGCGGTTGTGTTTTGCGTTCTTCGTCTCGAAATGTTCCGGCTAATTTTCAATTCTGACTTCCTAGGTAGAAATTTGGTCCGATTGATTTGATTGATATGTGCGATTTAACGTCCCAAAACCACTATATGATTATGAGAGACGCCGTAGTGGAGGGCTCCGGAAATTTAGACCACCTGGGGTTCTTTAACGTGCACCCAAATCTGAGCGCACGGGCCTACAACATTTCCGCCTCCATCGGAAATGCAGCCGCCGCAGCCGGGATTCGAACCCGCGCCCTGCGGGTCAGCAGCCGAGTACCTTAGCCACTAGACCACCGCGGCGGGGCAGCAATTCGGTCCGGTTTTTGCTTTCGCGACGCTACGATTAGATGCTGCAAAGTTTCTTGGCACGTTTGGCTAAATGGCTGTGCCCTTAGAACTACTACTCAAGGATACGCTGTAATGCGTCGTAACGAAGCGCATTTTGCTACACAAAATATCTGAGCGCCCTGGCTGCACAACACGCGGCGGCGTTTCGTGCAGCCTCTTGGTGTCTGATGACCACACCGGTCTGGCATCGGTATGCCTGGCGGGTCCAATGGCCTCCGCCGGGTTCGTTTGCCACGCCAACTTCGTAGGCCACAAAAAAAAAAGTGCTATTCGGTGCTGTTTCCCTGCCGAGCTGCTGCCGATAAATCCAGCCAGCCTTTTAGTACACGCCAGACGGGCTGCACATTTTTGCATCTTGGGAAATCCGAGCGCCGTGTGCACGGCGCACCAATGAGCCTGCCGGAGAGGCAGGCGCATTCG